CTACTACTACTACTACTACTACTACTACTACTACTACTACTACTACTGCTACTACTATTTGATCTACATTCCGGCGGTATGGACACCATTAGCCTCCCTCATAACTCCCTAGTACACCCACTGAACTCTGATGATAACTCTCTAGCTTGCCAGATTTCCCCCCTCAAATATTTCAGTAGCCGTTGCGGTTTATTTTGAAGATGAAAGACCTGCTTTATTTAGAGCAGTCTGTCCAGTTTCTCTAACTATTCCAGTGCCCGCGATAGCCAGACATTCACAGGCCGCGAACTGGAAAATCAGTTATAAGTTATCCGGGAAGCTTGAGCATCCTCTTCACCACCCACCTCACTTGAAATACTCACTTTAAATATTCACTGGCTTCTTGCTGTGATGATTACTAGTACTACCACATAACAACTTCTGCAAGACACTCCATCTAACTCGTCTCTATGCCTATTACTCGCAGCGGTAGCCAGCGGACTGGGAGGCGCCTCTCCCCAACTCCAGAGCTGCCACTGCCTGGGCCTCGAGCTACACTCCATGATCTTCATATCTTCGATAGCGATGCTCAGACTCGGCGGATCGAAGGTCTACATGTGACAAACTGCATCACAAACCATGATATGATCGAAATAATCATCGTTGTCCCGCCGCGAGGTTACTGGCGCCTACAGAACAAGAACGGCCATAGATTGTTGAGGGATGGAAGTCAGGTTCAATGCGGAAATTATTTCATTATTGTTGCCGATTGTAAGTTCTACTTTACCATTCGCAGTTACCTAGAAATGCTAATTCTTCTACCCTAGTTACTATTGAACTCACTGATGAAGATGCTCTTCCTCGAGCGGTCAGCGAGCCGGCTACTGCCATATAGACTACATTTACTGATGCGGCACGGCATCGGGATCGAGGTTGTGTCATCACCAAAGAGGCACAGGACGAACTGCTTATCCAAGCCGGGCTGTGGCCTGGTTTTGAGGCTGCCCATGTGTTTCCCCTGGCTTATTCCGCGCTTTGGGCCGGCCAGGGATTCAATGCTGCTATCGTAACGCCAGGGTCCGACGGTGATAATATAAACTCCGTCCAGAATGGCATGCTTCTGCGGGCTGATTTACATCAGCTCTTTGACACCTACCCCTTCTCTATATGCAGAAAGGTATGCCCCCAATATCTAACCTCGCGTTGGTTGGTGTATCGTATCTGAATCTGAATGTGTCAATAGGATAACTACAAGATAGTTTGTTTCATGCAATACACCAAGGACATTGCAGGAACCTATCTTTCCCCGGAATTTCTTTCACATCCCCAACGGCCACCCGACGTGCTTTTCGACTGGCATTTTCGGCAAGCAGTACTGTCCAACATGAAGGCCGGAGGGGAACAACCGGTTTTCAAACATGACTTTCCCCCTGGAAGTGATATGGTGGGGCAGATACTTCGTGGGCCGAGGCCGGAAGACCGTATGGAATTCGAGCTCTTCATGAGGCTGGCTAATTTGCAGTCCTGAATATCTTATCGATCGATCCTACCCAGCGAATCAGGGTGCTATTGCCAGGAATAAGTGACCGGCACACCAAGGCGAACCTTTTTGTGGTCTAACAGCTATTGACCACCAAGATAACCAGGACTGCACCTTGGTCCGAACCGCTAAATATGGTTATTGACTACCGCGGTCGTCGCATTTAAATGGGACTTGAAAATATTCTTCCTTGTCCGAAAGATCTATTCTATGGTAGATTAGCCAGTCTGTTACATTTCAACTAGTTGAGACTACAAACAGAGTCTGCAGCTACACAAACTGGATATCTTCTAGGTGGATGAACGTCATGGACAGCCCTATGATGCCTATTGAATGAGGCACCGCTCTACTGGAGCGTTACAGTCCCAATCTGGAAGAGACTGATTATATCACTGGAACTGCCTTGGGGTATTTCAATATTACCCTGGTTTTCCTCTCGATGCTTTCCTGAGATATATACTGGAAACTATTTAGACCAGCAATGTCCATGGTCCTACATTTATCTTCTAACTACACTCCTGTGCCTAATTGGGTAGTGTCTAGCAGTACGTCCATTGCTCGAGAACAGTGCAGACGCAGGCCCCGCAGATTCAGGAAATCAAGCAGCGTTACTATAAGCTTCGAGTGGTGGATTCAGCATTGACGCCTACGGTTCTTTCCAGACGGTTCCAAGTTCAAGGAATCGTGACATCCCCGATGAATCGAGAGATAGCGATTGCCAAGGGGAAAAACGGACACGTCTACTCGATAGGGAAATGCAAACACAGATGGCTTTACTTGCGGGAAAGAGATATATAAATGTTTTTGGCAAAAGTCGAGCAGACAAGATGGTCTTTCACGTCAATAACATACATACTAATCCTTACAAGTCCCCCGCTCAGTCTGCCGTCAGATTCATCGGAATGCAACACATAAAGTCCGAACTGGAAATAAAACCTTCTGGCGAGGCGCACCCTCACAAGTACGGGTGGGGGCAAAGAAGACCCGCGCAGCAGCATTGAAGACTCTGTCGTTTCAGCCAGACTTCGGTCTGGAGTTCTTCTTGAAGTACTGTTACCCTGCAGATGCCTATCAACATGTTGATCCAACCACTCACTTCGATCGACACATGGAGCTGATGCGAATGTCGCCGGTGGCACGGTATGTGACGAAAGTACTCTACGAGATGTGCGAGGTCGCTCAGGAAAAGATCACGCTATTTGCACATGGGCCCAATGTGGCCTGGCTCATGTCAATCAATGCTTTGTGCAAATTGGGGGACAGAGTCAGTGCGGATGCATCCGACAATGAACAAAAGCCGCTCGTGTCGGGTTTTCTGTTACCATCCGTCTTTCAAACGGAGAACTAGCTGAATATCACCCAACCTTGAGGTCATATGGAGCTGCAATGAGGGCCCATAGCTTTATTGACTGGGTGTCTGGCGCAAAAAGCAGAGGAGGAGATCACATCAAGACCAAATAGATACGTCTATCTTGCTCCAAACTAAGCGCCATGTCCCAGATCATATGAAATCGTTTGTTTGTGGGGGGTAGTATATACAGTCTTTAAAAGACAAAGAAAGCAACGCAAAGTTCCAATAAATGAGTGTTTATATCTCATGCTTGCTTGCTTTGGCAAGGAAGCTAACCGGTGGTACTTTATACACATTATCTTTGAATAGCGGTTAGCTAGCGATTCTCAACGGAGGGAAATACAACTCATTGGCGTAATAAAAAAAAAATCAATGGACGCTGCCGGAATCGAACCGGCGACCTTATCATAACATGCTAAGTCAGTGTAACTATGCGGGTGATATGTTATACCCCTAAACCAAGCGCCCGTGAATGCAATACATTGGTGTAATAGATAGTTATGGAGTAGTTGCTATGGAGAGGGAAGGGAAGTAAAGTAACCCCCCCCCCAAAAAAAAAACCAAAAAAACCAAAAAATAAAAAAAAATGGACGCTGCCGGAATCGAACCGGCGACCCCGTCAATGCGTGCGCATGCGTACGCCGCGTGTGCGTGTTACTAAGCAATTGCAAGTGCGAATGACATATTATACCACTAAACCAAGCGCCCCATGTGTTATTGATTGTGTTATCGGAAACTTGAATAATAACACAGTGGTCAACAACACCCATGTGATATTAGCCATATTAAACTGCCGGAGAATTGAAAATTTATTAGCTTTAATTATACAGGCTACTATATAGGAATCTTTACTGCCTTGGAGTGTTTTATCTTCGTGTAACTATAACTGAACTATGTAGTCATGTTGTTTCCAGCAAAATATAAGCCCTGTTTTGAAGAACAGGGTAATAAGTAAAAGCTGTTTTAGCATGTTCATTTTTTTGATAAAAAAAAAAAAAAAAGGAACAAGAAAAAGGAATGTAAATCGATCTTCTTCTACGGAGTAACTTTCCTGCCATGAGAAAGCCACAACGTCGATGGGTGAACCATACCGTTGTCACAAAAAAAAAGAAGAAAATAATGACGTTTCAAAACGCCACAGACCCAACGGAATCAAACGGTAACAGCAGTCTGCAGCCTGCAGGTTTGGTTGCCAACGGCAATGGTTGGATATGCTCGCTCTGCTTTTGCTGTATGAAAAGGCGTGGGTGGGTGGCTGAAACTGTGAAACGGCAAAAAGCAAGAAAAAAGAAATATCACTACCTCGTACATCAATGATCACGCAAGAAGGCACGTAATTACTATTTTAAAGAGATACCAAAAGGGAAAAAGAAAAGAAGATAAAAGAAAGTTTGGATAGGTAGGTAGGCTTAAAAGTTAGATAGAGATCATGGCTGGAGCCACGCTGATAACTTTATATCGAAAGAGGCAGAACTGCATGCATGCGGGGCCTGCTGCAGGGCGAGGTTACGGAGCTACGTAACTACGTGTTCAGTGTTCAGGCATGGCAAAATAAAAACGGTCAGGCAAGAGAAGAAAAGAAAGGAAGAGCGTTGACCATGCCGTCTAACGTTGGCGGGGAGGATGGCTGCAGTTGTTGGTTGTTGGCCGTTAAGCGAGACACGAGAAAATAGTAGGTTGTCATGTATGAAGATTGGAGGGGGAGACAGGAGATAATCTGTGTTTCAAGATCTTGGAGAATTCCAGACAACATGTCCAATCCAGGGTTCGTTTGGGTTGGGGGGATGGATCCGTCCCATCATCCACAGCGGTAACTACATCCAGGAGTCAACTTGGACTTGTCCAGGTTGGAACTTGGCAGGACTCAATTCAGGAACCCAGCTGGCCGGAATCGAGATTTTCGGGCCAAACTTGGCAGAGACGATGTTAGCGGCGAGTGGACACTGGAAGGCCGAATTCCAGCGGCAGTTGGGTCGAGGCTTTGGAGAGTCGGGAGAACCCAGAACGACCCTTGTTGAAGGCTGCGGGATTTGACGGGGGGGGCCAGGAACAGAGTTTTTGCGGCGAAACATGGGTGCGGATCCGTTCCTGGGCAGAGCATCCAGCATCCATGGGAGTGGTGCGGGGAAGGTGGTGCAAGAAGAAGTATGAATCTACGATACGGATATGGTGAAGCAAGCAGTTGCAGCTGGGAATTGATAGGGCTGGAATGAACAAAACAGACACTGGGAGCGGGCGCGTGCTGTGACAGGAATTCGGGAATTGAGGAATTGGCGACAGAAACAAAACACGCCAAGTAGCCCAGGGCGTCAGCGGCATCGCAATTAAACTAAACACGCAGGGCCCAATCAGCACGGGCAGGCGGCCCCAGCGAGGGCGCCACGGCACGCCAGCGGCTGCTATTGGCGAGGCCAGCCGATCCCCCTGAGAAGAGAGATAGAGATAGAGATGGCATTGTGGCAGAGGAAGTTGAGCAGAGGAGAGGAGAGAGGGGAGAGAGGGGAGGAGAGGGGAGGAGATGGACAACTACATAGACGGGGGATAGCATACACAGCTAGATGGGCGACACCCGGGGATTGTTGACTGACTGCTGACTGCTGACTGCTGACTGTTCTGTTTCAGCCACTCACTGTCAGTCGTCCTGCCTGTTCCCGCCCAGCCCGCTAGCCCCAGTTGGGCCGGCCCTCATTTCCTGCCTCGTCTGCCCCATCTCGTCTCCCTCCTCTCCTCTCCTCTCCTCTCCTCCTCTCCCTCTCTTATATCCCCAACTCTCGCTCTCCTCGCCCGCCGTCTCTCCTTCGGCTTGTTCCTCCGTGCACTTTTCACTCCTTCAAAGTGTCCGCGTCTGTCTGTCTCTGTCGCTCTTTTCCGCCCGCCTGCTCTCCTTGCCCCGTCTGCCTGGCTCAGATCCGCATCTCTTCCTGTGGAAGCCCCCAATCTCGCTCTTGATCTGTGATCGCGCGCCTGTTTCTCGCTGCCTCTCTGCCCCTGAGCCCCGAGAATCGAATCTCCCCCCGGATTCCCATCGCCATCAAGCAAGTCAATCAAGCAACCACTCAGCCATCAGCCATGCGAGGATCACTCCTTCTCAGCGCCCTCTGCGCCGCCAGCGCAATGGCCACCCCCGTCATGAAGCGTGCCTACGTTACCGACCTGACCGTCGTCACCGTCACCGAATACGTCACCCGCGGCGCTGCCCCAACTCCTGCCCCAGAGCAACCCCCCGCCGACCAGGGTGGCTACCAACCTCCCGTCGTCGTCACCAAGACCAAGCACAAGCATCCCAGCAAGGCGCCCGTGGCCACCAAACCAGTCCAAACCTACAAGCCTAAGCCTGAACCCACCTATGCTCCCGCGCCTAAGCCTGAGCCTCAGCCCACCTATGCTCCTCCGCCTGCGAACAACTATCAGTCCCGTGTTCTCAAGCACCACAACATCCACCGTGCCAACCACTCTGCCCCCGATCTCACCTGGTCCGACAGCCTCGCCGCCGCTGCCCAAACTCTTGCTCAGCGATGCGTCTTCGAGCACGACGTGTGAGTTCTAGTATACCCAATCCCACTTTGCTAGTCAGACTTTGCTAATAACCTATCAATAGCTCCATTGGCGGCGAGAGCTACGGCCAGAACATTGGCTACGGCTTCGGCCCCGACGCCGTCGGCAAGCTGCTCACCAACATGATGTACAACGACGAGGCTGAGCTCTTCTCTGCCTTCTACGGCATGTCCGATCCCGACATGAGCCAGTTCAAGTCCTGGGGTCACTTCACCCAGATGGTCTGGAAGAGCACCAAAACCGTCGGCTGTGCGACCTACAACTGCAACAACGACATCAACCATTTCACCGTCTGCAACTATGGACCTCCTGGTATGTGGTCCGCTTTGCCATTCCCTCGATTCTCCAATACTAACCGTTCAATAGGCAACTACGGCGGTGAATATGCCAAAAACGTGCTGAAGCCCCGTGGTGCCGAGATGGCTGTTGCATAAATTCTTTGAGCCCCCTCTTTATATATATATTTTTTATTTTCTGCATGGAAACCGGGGAAATGTCAGATAAAGGGAGTCAAATCAACCACACATTTTCGACAAATTACATGCAATGGGGGAAAACAGGAAAAGTTGAAAACACGGGTTCTTCGTTTTTGCCTCTTCCTTTTCTTTTTTCGAAATACATATTTTACTTGCCAATCACTTTTTCATCGGAGGAGGGTGGAAAAAAGGAGGAAACGAATGGGTCAATATCGATAAACGAAGCGTTCCATAACAACCCGAAAACTTTTCCGTTTTCTTCCTTTTCTTTTCTCGCAACACCCCAACTAAAATCTGATATATATGATTAGATTATTGTATCTATCTATCAGGTTCCCTTTTTTATATTAGTTGGGACGTTGTATCAAGTTTTGTTCTTTTTTACCCTTCTCTGTCATGTATTCTTCCTCGCTTTTTATTGTCAAAATATGGCTGTTCTGTTTGTTTGTCAAGCGTGATATGTGCCTAGGCAGGCAAGGCCCCTTTATTCTTGCGTTTCTGTATGTTTCCCTTTTTTTTTATGTTAGTTAGTTAGTTAGCTTTGAAGAGGCTGGAATGAATGTCTGGAATGAACGACTTTTTTTTTATCTTCTAGATCTCTCTCTCTCTCCCTCTCCTTTTTATGTGGAGTGAGGTTTGAACTGAGTGGTAGGACTTTGATGTAGTTTTATATTTATTCTCTTGTTTACCTTCTTTGATTTTCTGATCGTATTTAGACAGGTTTTTTTTTCACCTTTATGGATGGGGTTGGCGGAAAGGGGGTGGTGGGGTGGCTTTCCCTTTGTTTTATTAAACATGCTGAGTTTGAAACAGGAATGGAAACAGAAACACAGAAACAATGGCATTATTAAACTATGTTTTGTTTTTGAAACTTGGCATTTTATTGTTTGGAACTTTGAAACAATGGGATTTTGCCTGTTGACTGCTTCGAGTAAAACTATGCAGGCGGGGAAAAAAATTCCAGGTGTTGCATTGCATTGCTTGCTGGCTGCATGATGCATCTACTCCTCCAACACCACCACAAACGCCTCCAACGGCCTCAACCTCACCACCTCACCTATCCTCCCACCTACACCATTCCCATCCCCACCCCCACCCCCACCCCCCCAAACACCATCCCCCTCATCCCTCCCCTCATAATTCCCAACCACCACCCTCCCCCTCTCCAACACATCCCTCACCCCCTCCTCCTCCCGTGGAACAACCCAATCCACCCCCTCCCCCACCACAAAATTCATCACAACAAGCGCCCTCACCACCTTCCCCTTCCCCCCCTCCCTCAACCCCCTCCTATAAACAAACACCCTCTCATCATCCCCATCATCAACAAGCCCATAATCCCCATAAACAAACACATCCCCAAACCCCTTCCGAACCCGCAACACCCTCCTCCAATACCCATACACACTGCCCCCATCCCCCACCTGCCTCTTCGCA